GGCTTGGGTTTATAGGAGTTTCGGCACACCTTTTTGCTACATTTTTGAGTATTGGGTGAAAATATCCACTAAATCCAACCAAAATGTTGCCCACCGTCTTTATTAGTTGCTGATTCTTACTTTCATTCTCCGTGAAAGGATGGATCAACTACCTTTATTTTTGGGATTTTTCCCTTTTAATGAAATATGTATGGCAGTGAATACTAGCTAATGGTTTAATTTCCATTTTCAAGCATAATTGCCATGATGATCTTTCCATATTCTCAATGACGTTGGTTATTTTGCATTGTGGGCTTTAAAAGCTGCATTCTCGGTGTACTGGTTGAGATTTTGTCAACAGTTATTGCCACATGGCGTCAGTATACTTCTTCAAGATGACGGCATTTGGTGTACAGAAATATGAATTTGGTAGCTTGTTTAGTAACTTCTAGGAAACTAGCACTAGATATTTATGTCAGTTCAGTGGGTCCCATAAGTGTCAGCAGGCTTTGAAGCTTAGGTAGAACGTTCTCAATACTGTTTCTTTGAAATACCAATCGCAGGTACCCATGGTGTAAAGTCCTGTTGGGGCGATCTATTGATACAAAGTATCCGATTCCGAATAGACACAATATTGCATGGTGTTCCTGCTCACTTAAAAATCGCACATTGCTTTCGCTATTTTGGCAGATTTTCTCATAATCCAAATGATTGACAGCCGTCCTCTTTACGGTCACTTTAATTGACCGATTTAATTCAACGTGTCAAATTTGGTTCTACTTCGATCTACTTTCTGTAATATCCCTTCCTTAATTATGCATCTGAAAATACCTAAGGGTGCCAGCGTTCATAATTGTCTGAAATGTGCATGTAAAATAGGCGTTTTATGTCTGTCGCCAATCAGTCTGGACTAAGGTTTATCTCATTTTGTTTTTACAACTGACCAAAGCATGTGCACTTTCGTTATACTTTGCTGGTTTTAGTTTTTAATATTAACGAAGAATATGGTCAACATTCTAGCATCGTCTTTTCGCCTCAGGTACAGATCCGATTTTGTTTCGTATTCTGCGCCCAACAATAAACTCTGGTGATAGAGGTAAAAAAAAGGAATCCAATGAACGGACGGCAAAGTCGTGGAATGCAGGTGAAAACGTCTCAATTAACAGCAGCCGAGTCATGTTGGACCGCGCTCTTTGTTTCTCCCTGCGCCACGGTCGCAGCGATGTTGACTTAGTTCATCGAGACGTCGAGTTTGGCATCATCCTCCTCCACTCAAACGCGGAACACCGCAGCCTTTGTGATCTTTATCGACACCCTCCCGAGGCTTCCACCACTGCTACCGTTTTTGATGGCTGGGCTCCCGGTGACATGCTTCAGTGCTTCCGCATTGTCCAACGCCCTCAATCACTGGAGTGGCACATCGACTGCCCTCCCACCTCCGACAATTGAGCTTGGTGTCTCCCTAGACTTCTCACACGTGCTTGCATGACCAAACTGTAATCAATTTGCTGGTGATTTTGCTACTAAATAAAATGTAAAGTTGAAGGAAATCCATTTTTATTTTAATTTGTCCAAGTAGTAGAGCGGCAACCTCGTCTTCCATTGGTTACCTCCTTCAGAGAGGGTTTTAGCATTTTTCACTACCTTTTGTAACATGATAGATTAGTACTCAAAAATACAAGGGTGCCTAACTGGTTATTACAATTGAAAAAGGATTAAATCCATTTCTTGCCGGTACTCTAGCACTAGTCTCAGGCTAGTGTTATATTCTCACATGTCTTTGTCGAGGAAATGTGTTCAATACTAGTTCGGACCTAGTCCAACCGGTAAGTTTTGCATAAAGAACTTGAAAGCTGACACTGTGTACTTGCTTGTCCGAGGAGCCATTTTAAGGCTAGCAGGCTACTTTGATCGCCGTAGCGAGTGTTGGGAAGACATCTTCATTACCGGATTCAACTTCCCATAGTTAATGTACAGTCAGATTCCTCCTAGATTCCTCTTTACCATATCAGTCACTGAGACTTATTATGATTTTGGCAGCTTTCGGACCTCGTCTCTGACTGTCTCTTCGAGGAGAGGAAACATTTTTTGCCTAAATGACCTTCAAAACAATCTGGCTCCATTAATGTAGTGTATAACTCTCTAGTCTGTGCTCTCCCGCCTTGACACCTTGTGGTGCAAATGTATTTATGAACTTAACCAGTACTATTCATAATTCCTTTTTCTTGTCGATGAAATGGCTAAGCAGGACTGTTTCTTGATATGGCTGAGGTATTGAATGGGGCGTTACAAAAGCAACCGAGACTTTCCTTTGGTGATTAGGAGATAATCGTGCTTTTAATGTTTTGGTAGGCAAAGACGGTGCTTTTAGCAATATTCCGAACGAATTTAGTGCTACGCCGAATGTCGGTGCCTTAGAGTCACTTTACAGGCTCGTATTTTACCTGAAATACGACTGCGTTTCTCTCTGCTACGGTCTCCTGTTTTTGCTAAGCACATCTTGTCAGGTGGTAAAACGATCTCATTTTAGTGAAATTTACCGCTACTATGGTCGTGACAGATTCAGCGAAAATTTCGTGAAGGAACTTTTAGTTTGCCTGAAACTCGCAAGGCTGAATGAGATCTCTTCAAAAGTAAGCAGGATTAGACAAAGGACCGTTCATCAAACTTTGATTTGCACTAGTAAGAATCTCGGCATAAGGGTGATGAGTTTAGACGACTGATACGATTACAGGGCAGAAATGTCGCCAACTTGCTGAGAGTGGTTCCCTACCGTAATGGATAAGCTTACTCCATGGCTTAACTGGGCATTTATTCGTCCCTTAACCGTTGATGGCGGTGAACCACGAAAAATAGTTTAGTCGATCGTCGCGATGTGTTGACATTTTGTCACTGGCTTATTCATTTTTATATTGTGCTGAAAACAAAACTTTCAAACACATTTCTATCCTGGTATGTGACTCCACACCCTATGGTTACAAATGTTGAGGCATAAAACAGGGATTAACTTTGGGGTTTTGAAACCATACTTCAAAGTTCATGCCATTTTGGAAGGCGTATGGAAGACGGCGTTGCCTACTACGTCTGATTTTGCACCCTTCGAATGAGCAAATTGATTAGCACATTCCAGCATCAGGAATTAATTGCGTCCTCTCAGTTACAAGGCTTGTAACTGGTGCTTTCAAATAAGGACATGTTAAATAGAGGACGATGCAGCATCATCGCAGTTTATGGAAAAGTGGCTGTCCATTAACTCCAACTTCAAGAGCATTGATTGACACTGTTTTGCAAGTGTCCTAATACAGGCTTGGTGATATGCCGAATAGAAGATTTCTAACTTTCGCAATCAATGGCCCACTATCAATGAGAACTCCTACATCAAACCCATGGGTAATCCCATAAATGGAATGCTCTTTTTTGAAAGAAGAAATAGGGATGGGATCAAAGTTGTCCACGGCTCCATCTTTGGTTTCCTTATCCACCCTCTCATTCCCCCTCCCCCTTAATGTCTCACTGTTTAAGGCAAAATATGCCAAAGTCACTCTGATGGATACGCCTATCCAGTGCCGCCTCACTAATCACTCATTGGATGAGATTGCATACAATTACCACTAAAGTTTCTTTGAATTTTGCCACTTGCATCTTTTTTCTATTAACAACTTCTTCATCAATTTACCTTTCCGAAACTGTGATACGAGATCCAATTTAGACCTGGGAATCAGTAACGAATCGGTACACGGTGAACTCCAAAGATCTAGCCGGTGTCCTTAACTGACAAGGTACACAAACAATTGAGTAAACTGATCTCATTGATGCGATGCATATGTCTAGATTGGTCAACCTTGTTGGAATAATTCAAGGAAAAGAGACCTATATGTTAATGAAAATTATTTTGTGCCGTTCCTTCGAAAAAGTAAGCATTGGAATGAAACACTATGAAGTAAGTGATTCGTATTAAGCACAGACAGCATGTACAAAAAGGTGAAATCAAGCTCGTTGTGAAAATTTTAACTAGTGAATGAAGGCAACGAAGGAAATGTAGTGCTCAATGTATAGAGAGACATCACTTAGGAGACTAATGCGCCGCAGTACTCCACCGAGTCTCACACCTGCGATGCAGTCCTTTTGGATGCCATGCTTTTGATAACGTTTCTTCTGATCGCGCACCTTTTAGCTAGAGAAATGTCACATCTGTTTTGCAATAATGGGAACTTAGCCAGTCAAATTGAAGGTAGTTACTGTTTTCGCCTAAGTCAGTTCAAGTCGTGTTTTTAGTTCAATGGTCTCAAAGGTTGTGGACCCATATAAGGCCAAAATGATACACTACGATTACTCTAATATGTGTGGTCTTATTTGACTGCCACAAT